GGGACACATGAGGTCTTGTTCTACAATTTGTTGTGTCTTGGTTTTTCCCCAACGTTGTCCATAATTGGCAGCTATACATGGTTTGACTAGATATTGCACGAGGAATAACAATAGCCTATGTAGCCAAAGTTTGTTTGATCCTTCTGTCAGAAATGGAGAAGTAGATATATCTAGACCACTCGTTGATTTGGTGTTGATAACAAATGTTGGGTCAAGCTGGGACTGAGTTGATTAGATTTGATAGTCAGTTTGAATGTCACCACAAGTCGGTATCGGGAAACATAATTGTGAACCATGAGATTGACCCTAGATCCATGTCTCTAGTTCATAATAAGATATCATGAAGATCAAAGGAATTTGAAGTTATCAGTCTTAGGGTTGTTTATAGCAAAGTCGCTATAAGTACAGTAATTGCATCGGATTGTTACTCACTGTTGTCTCTAGTAAGTATTTGATTGGTCAATTATTGATGCCTAAGTGCAAGTAGGAGCTAATGAAGATTAGTGTCCATAGTCATAACAAGCCTGATAATATTACTATAAAATAATAATGTCCTTTTGGGTTGCACGCAAGAACAAAATAAAGTAGATTTGAAAATATATTTATTTGAGGGACTTATTTTGTTAATTAATTAATAGTAAATAAAGGAATATGGAATATTCCATAATGATTTGAATTCCATAGATAATTATAATTAAGTTTGGTAATTATCTATGGGGTTTAAAATCACATCCCTATAAATAGAGGGCTCCAAATCCGTTTTTTGGTACGTGAGAAAAATACCTATTAGCCTCAAAAGTTCGGAATCCTCAAAACCCTAAGAAATCCTGAAGTGCAGTTTTCATGTCGTGGCAGGTCGTTCTCCACGTCGTGGTCGACCACAGCATCGAGATTTCGGTTTTGTTTGAAGCTCATAGTTCGATGGATGCTTATATATTCTTGTATCTTGTGTCTTGGGTGCGATTTCAGAAGAGTAACTCTAGGTTGGGTTCTTTATTAGTCCATTCAATTGGCTCGTCAAAAGAAGAAACCTACAAAGAAAGCAAAGACATGATTATATTCTATTGTGTTCTATAAGTTGCATGGATAGTTGAGTTAGATCTTGTGTTTTGAATCTTAGATCAGAATTGATTGTTGTTTTCGCTGCCCAATGGTTGATCTATGATAGGCTCGAAACCCATCAACCTGCAGCTGCAAGATAGTCTTTAACTTGAGCAGTCTGGCTGAAGACTGGAACCTGGTCTGAAACTCCCACTACGAAGTCTCCACTGTCTCCCACTTGGAATATACAAATCATATGAACGCAGCCGACACATAACTAAAGCTCCAAATCAAGCATTTTAGACTCACAGACACACAGTCACGGGCATAGATTTCGGAAAATCGTTACGGACACCCCGTTCCGAAGACAAATTTTGGAGAAACCATTTCGGATGCCCCTTTCTGGACACACTATATTTTCTTACAACCTCACACTATTAATATGGAGGTACCACACATCGTAAACATAGTACATTACCATTGTAAAAACTTGAGAATGAGTTCATCTGATTTTGTTGTTTGGCATTGTGAATAATAAGATTGTTATGTTTGTTCGGATATTAACCCGTTTTCGGAAGGTCTAGATTTCCCACTCCCGGATAAAATGTTTGATGACATTTTCGAAGCTATGACGGTCGCCGAAGAAGCCAGCAAAAGGGACTCTGAAATAAGTTGGATACTCAATCAACGTGCAGACGATCTAGCGGAACAAGAAAAAAAATGGGCTGCTGAAACTATGAAAAAAGTCAAAGAAGCTGAGAAGTGGATTCGAGATGCAAATGTGGAGATTGATAAGCTTCGGGAAGATCGGGACCGTCTAACAGATGTTTTTAGAATTAGAGAAGATTTTATCGACCGTGAACAAAATACATATCCCTTACAATTTTCTAATTTATGGAATTGGATTCGAGATGCAAATGTGGAGATTGATAAGCTTCGGGAAGATCGGGACCGTCTAACTATGTAATAGCTTTTGTAATGATCGTTTAACTAATGTTAATGAAAAGCATTGCCACTTTAGATAACACTACCATTTCTTTTAAGTAATTAAGTTTGAAATAGCATTACAATATTTAAAATTATAGTATATTTTCAGGATAATCAGGAAGTTGCATTCGGTGCAAACTAGCACTGTCTACATGATTTTCAAACAATTCCATGTATGTCTCAATTAGGCTGAATCATTATCAGTTATTTACACTCGTTCTTCTATTGTTGCACTTGTCCTATATGCTTCTTCGATGATGTCCATTGTGTTCACAAACTGTCGTATATCTTCAGACAACGTAATGATGAGCATTTGCATATTATACATTGCTAGTTTTCTCTGTTCCTCGACCGTAGAAGGCGATAATGGGATTTCCAGTATTATCAATTGTTATTTCACGCGTTGCTAAGCATGAATCATTTCTAACGCGGTCGTATCAACAAGACATCGTTGCTTGTCTTCAAGACATAGTATTTCATATTCTATTGGCAAAGCATCATCATTAATCGAGTTATTGAATGTTAGAGACTGAAATTAAAAAATATTAAAATACATATTAAAAACCAACTTGCATAAACGTATCCAAAATTAAAACCAACTTGTAGAAACGTATCCTTAACAAAAATTATTAATTTCTAACCAGTCTATAATAACAGGTTTGTCTAAACTTGCTTCGGTCTCATCTTTCAGAGTTTTATCTGCTTTCAATTTAAGCTTTAACACCATTCCTGATTTCTTTCTTAATTTTTAGGTGCATTTGATGTTTTTTTACTAACTCAACATCTTGGTTTTTTATCCGCAAAACACAATTCCAACAGTATTTTAATACATTACCATAAAAATAAAATAAAATAATTATTACAAATTTTTTTAATTTGGTTTTACCTTTATCAGACGCAATTCTGAAAGTTCTTATAAATGGAATACAATTTCTTCGTCCGTAAAACCCCGTTTTTTTAATAACATCCACACAAATTCGTCTTCGGACTAATACAATGTATTTAACAATATCATAAAAAATAAATAAATAAATAAATAAATGACCAAATTGAACTTTTATTCCAGACAATCATTCTGAAATTGATCTTCATATTTCGGAGTACGTTCTTTATATTCCGGAGTGATACTAACGTTCCGGAATCCCTTGTAACGTCTAATTAGACTTATTTTCTGACTAAAAAACTGTGTTTTACACATTCTAAGATACTTATATGGATCTTATATGTCTAAAACAAAATAATAATAATAATAATAATAATAATAATAATAATAGATATTTCAGACTTGTTCTTAGTATTCCGGGCATTATCTACGATATACAAATAATTGTTTGTAAACTCTAAATGCGAGCAACTTAAAGAGTAAAACCGACCCGGTTTGATGAATCAATGGTAAAACTCTGTCTGGCGGTGAACACGACCTTTGGATTTTCAAAATTCAGAATGCTTATTCCAGATTTTGGGGTATGGGGACCATATATAGCATTGAGCTACAGTAGTGGACTTGACTCGTTTTGGTCCGGTCCGGAATGACCATTCCTGACACAATAATTACTTTTCAAAAAAAATGTTAACTATAAACTAAAATTGATTAGATTACTCAATTTCCCTGCAAATTATATTATATTTAGACTGTATAATAGCTGTTATTTCCCTGCAAATTATATTATATAATAATTGTTGTTGATAATTAATTGTTTAGTCCAGAAAGAGAAATTTTGCTATTTTGGGATAAGAGAAAAGTGGAAGAAACACAATCAACGCATCACCTGGGGACCGACCCTATGCAATCAATTACATTTTTGTTTGCATACATCTCATTATTCTTCAATAATACAGCATAGCATTTGTTTCTTTTCAATTATTATAGTATAACATTTGATCTAAATGTATGTATTTGTATTATTTAAACGTATTACAAATATATTATTAATGTATTTGTATTATTTAAACGTATTACAAATATATTATTATAAGGGTTTTTGATATGAAATATTGAAAGTCTTTAAGTTTATAAAAAAAATAATGATTTTTTGTTTGTTAATGTCAGTTTTTTTTCATTTTTGTTATGTTATTTGTAATAACATTTTCCAGAGAAAAACCGATCAAATTTGACAAACTTAATGAATCTGGAAAAACCGATCAAATTTGACAAACTTAATGACTTTCATGTCAAATTGAAAAAACATACTTAGGGTAATTAAATACATAAAAGATTTGTAAACTTAAATTTTTTTTTTTTTTTTTGCAAATTTGATTTCATAATTAAGGTTTATCTTTTGCAAATTTGTAAACTAAAGAGAAAAAAAATGGAACTTTAACAAAGTTCAGCCATTAACACACCTAATATTGTCATAGGGACAATATCGTTATATTTTTACAAATTTAAAGACTTTTATGTCAAAAGCCTTGTTATAACAATATATTCAAATCAATTTTTCTTGTGATAAAAACCAAAAAATGACAAGATCCACTTGTAAGTACTTTTATGTCAAAAACCTTTATTATAACCATTTAAATCGAATTTTCTTGTGATAAAAGCCAAAAAATGACAAGATCTACTTGTAAGAATCTAACTATAATATAACCCTTTTAGGGAACCAAACCCACTATGATACACTAAAAAATAAATCAGTGACATCGTAGGGACGAGCAGACCCCTCTACATGAGCCACGTCCATCTTTCCGAAGCAATACAATATGTTTGATTATTAAAAAAAACGTTAAATATGAAAGTTTGGGGGTATTTGATACGTTCTTTTACTAGTATGGTAAAAAGTTGAATATAATTTAGATAGATTGTTTGTTTGATAACGTAATTGAAAGCTTATGATTCGATCATATAGCTTCTAATATTTTTAAAGTCTAATAAAAAATAATCTGACTCGGTCACTCTAAACGCCCACTGCTAAATTATTGTATCCAAAATTATAGAAAAGAAATGATATTTATATTATTGAGCTTGACTCTTAGATTTAGAGAATGGGTGGTCACTGGTGAAGTGGTGGAGTGTAGTTGCAATGATACAAAGAATCTAAAACTAAAAACAACGGTCCAGATTCTCTCTCTTTCCTTGTTATCTTCTCAACTCCCCCGATCTCACTTTTCTCTCTCTCTCTCTCTCTTTTAGTAGCCTCGAGAAACTAGAAACACAGAGAGGAGTGTGGAGATGATATTGGGTAAGAGACACCGACCTCCGATCAAGAGAACCACCAGCATGACAGAATTCACCTTGGATCTCAACGGCCCCGCCGCCGTTGGAGGTGGCCATGACAACCCTCAACCACCGCATGATCCTAACAACCCCTTCAACACGAACACACCAAGTGGTAGTCTTGATCATCGGTTCTTGACTGCCTCCAATATTTCTCCGAGGAACCACCGCCGGAATTCACTTGACCATATGGAAACGGCTCATTTCTTGACAGTTTGTCACCTCTGTAACCGCCGGTTGATCCCCGGCCGTGATATCTTCATGTACAGGTATATTAATGATTTAATTCTCAGTTCATAACCTTACTTCTCTTAATATTATTATTAGTAAATAATTTAAAAGCTACAAATCATAGTCATCTACGCATTTGAAGCCTTGCTTTTGTTTTTCTTTTCTCAAATACAATTTTAATGATATTACAAGTTTTGAATTGTGAAATTTTGCAGAGGCGACAGTGCATTTTGTAGTTTGGAGTGCAGACAGCAACAAATGATTCAAGATGCAAAGAAACCAGTTGCTCTCAGTTCTGAATAATAATATTCATCAAATGATTCGAATATACGAAGCATTAATTATTCTATTTTAATATTTTATGGGGTTTGGAAATTCAACCAATGTCCATATGATTGAGTATGATGCAGATATGTACATACATATCTATGTATATTTAATTATTTATGTATGTACGTACGTATGTAGAGGTATGTATTTTCAACATCTGTCATTTTAATGAATCATATTTTTGTGGATAAGGTCGACGCTCGCAAATTTATTGATAAGCAAAATACGATACAAACAAAAGAGAGAACCCCTTGGGAATTTTTTTTTAAATGTTTAAAAAGAAATCCATTAATCTTCCATTTAAGTCCTTATTTTTTTTCCATAGGACGGTCCTTTTGTAGTCTACAACCGGTTAAATGTTATTTTTTAAAAGAACAAGTCAAAGAAATGGTTCATGTGGTTATCTAAAATTAAATCACTATAAAAAAAATTGGGAAAATAGAACAATATATGTCAACGTTAAAGACTCTAAATGGCGTCGATATTGTCTTTTGTGACTACATGTCGCCGCTAAGCTAAAAGATCATCACTTTGCAACCTTGCTATCCGCCACTGATAGTGTCGCCATTAAAGATGGTTGACGGTGTCAATGACGGTTTTACTATGATGTTTGTAGTGGCACCGACGACGTCTGGTTTTTCTGGACGCAGTGCAAAATATTTTGAATTTCTTTTTTTTATTGTGATACTACTAAAATTTTCCGTAACACACCTACTATGAAATTATGCCTTCGCCCATGGATGGTGTCGCCACTATTTCACTTCATCACCATCACCAACGGTTCTACTAGTGTTCGGTATTTGATGTTTCAAAAATGGAAGAATTGGGACCAACAATTTTGCCTGTGTTCATTGTTTGTTCTTTTCGAAATGGAAAATCATAACCCGTAGTTCTACGGCTAAGGTTTCCGAAATCGAAATCACAATCAAAGGGAGGGGGTTGGTAATAGACCTATTGATTCTTTTTGTTGCTCCATTGATATCTTGTTTTGTGGCTACGACTCACACAAGAGAAGAATAATCTGCTTTGACTTTGACTATATAAAGTGGAGTACCTACATTTGAGTTTTCAAAAATAGTACCTGTCCAACCCATCTTATAAAAGTCACATCAAGAAGTGGTAGCTGGCTGAGAAGGTTGTTACATGTTATATGGTTAAGTTTACGGCAACCAAAAAGTGATGTTTAATATGATAAAATTGTTTTTTATTTGAAAAACTTAAGGGGGTTAGACTATCTGGTATGCGGGTAAAAGATGTGTGAGCTCCTATGTGGCTAACCAACCCACGCGTGAACACCGCCCGTGACTTCGGTGGGTTGGTTGTAACGTGGTACCGGAGACTATCAAAGACGATTCATTTGATTGGTGGATGGTTTTTTACCGTTTTTTCAAACTTTAGAATAAAAAAAATTCTTTAACATTAAAAAAAAACAATTCTTTAACATTAAAAAAAAACAATTCTTTAACGTTTAAACTTACCTTGTATATATACATACACTTATACATATTTTTACATCCTTCAAACACACTCTTTCAACTATATGAATAATTTTTTAGGTTCAATTTCTTCTTCCTCATCTAATGATGATGATTCTGATTCTATGTTTTTTTTATGTTTTTTAGTAATTTAGGTTTTAAATTTCTATGTTTTTCAAGTACTGTTGTAAATCCATAAAATTCATGAAAAATTTAAACTTTTAAAACCAACCCACAAATCATCATTGTTTACAATTAGTTTTCAAAACATGTTTAATATCAGAGTTTTCCCAAAAATCATAAATCAAAACACGAGTAGGTGCACGATCATGCATTCGTCTTACCGCAATCATCTGAGGTACTTGAAACATAACCCAAAACTGTAAGTCAACGCTTAGTGAGCTTTCCCCCAAAGTACAAACACACAAAACACATAACAATAACAAACAGCATACATACAGAGCCTTCAGCATGACTGGACCGCCTTACAGGCCATCAACCTACTTGGACCGCTCTCTGGGCCTTCGGCCTGACTGGACCGCCTCGCAGGCCTAGAGTCTATCCGGTCCGCCTCGGGTGTCTTGGCCTTCAGCACAAAGCAGAACCGCCTCCACCCAACCAACCATGACATGTCGACATACACATAACTAATAAACATTTAACCAGACATCAAACAAACAGGCAGATTCACAGATCACAACCGCATGCTAACATCCTATTTACCAGGATACAGATCTAACAGATCACTACTATACACAATCATACAATAAACCAGGATAACAATCTAAAGGGTCGGCCTTGGTGTCTTCGACCCGAAAGTACAGTGCGGAAAACTCACCTCGCAAGCTGAACAGAACTGATAAGGTCCGACCCCGAACCTCAGCTCTTTAACTGATACCTAATTTTAGAGCTGGCAATGGGTCGACCTGGGTTGGGTTCGGGTTCAACCCATTTATTAATTGGGTTGAAAATATCAACCCAACCCAACCTGTTTATTTAAATGGGTTGATATTTCCAACCCAACTCAACCTTATAGATAAATGGGTTGCCACCGGGTTGACCCATTTATGTAGTTGTCGATCCAACCTATTAAATAAATGAGTTAAAGTTAGGTTTATTTATTTAAAATCAAAAAATTAAATACATTAACTAAAGCTTATACTATATAAATCAATTTCAAACATAAATAAAATTTCAAAGTATAACAAAAACACAATCACAATTTACAAATTTGAATAAATTGATCAAATAACATAAAAAAATATTTAATTTCAAAGGGATTTTGGAGAGTGGCTAGTATTTTTGGGATAAGAAAAAAGATGGGAATTAAGATTTATATTTTTTTTAAAACACAAATAATAATACAATATTTTAATTTATAAATTAATACTTCGATTAATATATGATAATATTAAAATAAATATTGAATTAAGCATATATTAAAGTTAAATGGGTTGGTGGGTTGAAAATGGGTTGACATCTTTTACCCAACCCAACCTATTTAATTAAATGGGTTAGACGGGTTGACCCACTTAACTTAAATGGGTTGAAAATCTCAACCGAACCCACTAATTTTGGGTTGGGTTCGGGTCGGGTCGATTTTTGCCAGCTCTACCTAATTTCATCAAATGACCAATTTCCATCAAAATTCCAAAATACCCTCAAGGTCAAACTTGGTCAAAGTCAAAGTCAACTGGTCAAACCCACTAACTCAACCGAGTCAACCCAGACGAGTCAACTCGACAAGGCTGACCCATACGAGTACGTGGGGCGTACTCTGGAGGTACGCTTAGCGTATGCAAAGTATCGCATTGACCACCATCGGGGTGGTTGACCGAGTACGCGGGGCGTACTTCCACTTACGCGGGGTGTAACCTCGCAACCCCAAAACTTCATTAAGTGCTTAATGGCTTAAGCACTCAAGCCCATATTTCAGATCTATGACTAAAACACACCCTAGAGTGATAAAGTTTCCAACTTTATGACTTTACACGCCTAATAAGAGCTTAACACAAGGTCTTAATCCATTAAGAACTTCTACAAGATGCATGGAGCAAAACTAACCAAATGGACTTCATTTATATGGCTAAGGACCCTTCTTAGGGTCTGAAAGGACAACTCAAAACGTACAGAACATGCCATGCTCAAGATGAGACTTTTGGGACCAAAAAGATGACATAAAACCCCCATAACTATATCTACAAGATTAAGAGACAAATGTGCAAGCTTTATACCTTGAAAGGCTTGCAAATGAAAGATAAATCCCAGATCTAAGGTGCTTCTTTCTCCAAGTTGAGCTTGTTCTTCTTCCTTCCTCTTCAAATCACACAAACACACTCTTTAATGCTTGAAATTTCCTCACAATGTGCTTCTAGGGTTTCAAATCACGAAGAGAGGGTATAGATGGTTATGTGGAGAGAAATGAAGCCATAAAGATCCTTAAATACCACCCAAACCCTAAAAATTAGGGTTTCCAACTTTATTTAGTACGCCATGCGTACATGTAACACCTAGAATCTAGATGTTTAATAATGGAAATAAATTCCCTTTCCTAGGGACCAACACGGCGAGTTGATGGTGAGAAACTCAACGTGTTGGAGGCTTTTGGGACTCGCGTTTTTATGAACTAACTCGGCGAGCTGGTGAAGGGAAATCGGAAAGTTGGACGCTGATTGAGAAACCCTAATTTCTAGGGTGTTGCACCCTATTTAAAGGCCTTAAGTTCTTTGGTTGGCTTCCTTACCAGCCTCCTCTGTCCAGAAACCCTAAAATCGAGCCGTACCTTCCATTGTTGAGTGTGGGAGCTTGGGGAGGGCCTTGAGGGTTCATTTTTGGTGCTTGTTGAAGGATCGAATGAATTAGGAGTTGCTTGGCTTGAAGAAGTCGTGGATCCAGAATCTCTGTCTCATTTGCCAAGTTTTTGAGGTATCAAGTTCTTACCATGCTTATTAGTTGCTTAGATCTCTTCTTGGGTTAGAGTTTATGTTTTTAGACATTTTTGGGTGGATGTTGGGGATTAGGATTCCCCAGATGATTATTCTTTTAGATCTAGGGTTTACATTAGCTCTTTTGGCATAAAGGTGCCAACTTTATGGATTTAAGGGTTTCATGCATTCATTAAGTCTTTCATTTAGTCCTTTTAAAGATTTTGAGCTCCTCCTAATCATGCTTAAGCGTAAAGTTGGAAACTTCACGTGGCCATCTAGCCTTATGGGGTCAAATATGCATTTTGGGGTTTTGTCTTTGATGATTAAGTGCTTAATGATTAAGCCCTCACTCTTTTAAGTCTAGGGTTTTGGTTAGGACCCATTTGGGTGGTTCCTAGGGGTAAAGTTGGAAACTTTACCCTTCTTGATCTCATTTTGGTCGAGATCTGAGCTTTGGAGCTCTTGGATTCGTTGAAGGCAGCTTAATGCATTAAGTTGTTGGTTCTTAGGAGAACTCGACGAGTTTGTTGATCAACTCGGTGAGTTGACTTGGTTTTTCCCGATCTGTGCAGTTGATGGAGAAACTCGACGAGTTGAATGACAACTCGGCGAGTTGGGTCAACTTGGACCGTTGACTTTGACTTTCGATTTATGTCTTTGAACAAGTTTGTCCCAAGGGATACTTGAGGTAATCAGAAGTGTAATTAAGAAAATTATGGGCTTAGGATAAGACCCATAA